CTGCGCGGAGGCGCGGCCTGCCTCCCTCGCACAGCCTGCAGCGCTCCCGGGCTGGACAGACCCGCGGGGAACCAGGGCAGCGGCCTCGCGGTGCCGCGGCGCTCGGTGAGCGGGAGCGGGACAGGGCAGCGTCTGTGGACGGGAGGGTCTGGGCCGCGAGCGCGGGCCTCTGGAGGCCGAGAGGGACTTCTCGGGAGCCAGGTGAAACGGAGCTTCTCGCTCGTGGCCTGAACCCCGCCTAAGCAGAGGACAAAGTGGGGGTACGCCGCCGGTGGGTGCTAGGTGCGGGCACGCAAGCCAGGGCGGCCCGGGCCCCTCGAGCCGGCGGCACCTCTGCGGCGCCCTCCTCTGCATCGCTGGTGCCCGCATTCCTGGCCTTGTCCTTGTCACTCGCGCGTCGGTGAGCTGATGGTGCAGAGCTGCGGTGGCCTCTGCCTCCTTACCAGGCAGCAGGGACTCGGTCCAGCGGCACAAAGGCTGCTGTCATTGCTCTCTCCCTTAGGGACAGCACAAGGCTCTCCACAGCCTGAGAAACTAGTCACGATGTATGAAAACAGTTTTGATGCGGTATTGTTCTGAACTCCTTAGGAAAAAAACAAGAAGCCCTTTAATTCTGTTAGCTGTTTTGTATATGCACCTATTTACTTGAATATTTTTCAGTAAGATTTTGGGAGTAAGATGAAGACAACCGTTAGAGGTTTTTTTTTTTTTTTTAAATCCCATTTTTGGTGGTTGAAAGATGAAAACTAGTTCTGGAAAAAACAGTTTTCAGATACCTTCTTTGGCTTCCACAAATATGAACTCCAAAAATTATCCGACTTGGTATGTGTTGTTAAATAAATTAGATAACTGAGTTACTAACGGTCTTCAGGGATACATTGTAGGCCTCAGTAACAATCTCCAGAGCTTTCTCTTTCAAAATTGAGTCATACTGGGTACAAAGCCCTTTATTCTTTTCGCCTTCTTATTGTTTTTGCTTTATTGTACTTCGTAATACTTAGTTTAAAAGTTTACAGTAATTATAAAGGCCCCATAAATGCACCTTTATCCCTCTTACATCAATAGTCATTTATTTTAATTGATTCTGTTTTGGAAGTGTGTTTCAACTCCAAGAAGTTTATCTTCTCTTTTTTAAAAGTTTAATAGCCATGTTGGTTGTTTATTCACTGTCAGAATTTATGCTGGTCTTTTTCCTTTTTCTTTTTAAACTATAATATCTTCTTAATGACTTTGAAGACTCTGGTACATGTGGTATAGAATCAAAAGAATATTTTCACATTTTAATAACTCACTCAGCGTTCTTAATGCAGTTAATAATTTACTATCCCCTTTGTTGTTTGTTATAGTATTTAAGGAATGACAGGCAACTCCTTTCTTTGAGCTGCTTCATTCCAACTAATTATGTTGAGAGACAATGAAATAGTCATCATCACTAGAATAATTTGCATTTAAAAACTTTGTTTTAATTCTGTGAATTAAAATATTGTTAAGTGATTTTTTTTAATTATAATTCAGTATTAATCGTTTTTATGCAAGCTTAAAGTTGAATAATGGACGTAAAACTAAAGTTGAATAGTAGCAGTGCAGTATTGAAACTGCTTGACATACTCTCAGGTTACTGAGGACATATATATTCACTTTAACTTTCACAGTGACCATTTCTGGATAGTCTGAAAAATTTCAGTATTATAGATCTTTGAAGATGGCTAACAAAACATTACTATATAAAATTGCAGGATTTTTGTTTTCATGTTTAATCTTTCATTGAGGGATCTTAAAATGATCACTGAAAAGTTTCTGACACAATATTAGTTTAGTTTTTCATTTTTGTATTTGTTTTTACCCTAGCATGTTTTTTCAATTAAAGTTTTTTTTTCTTTTTGTTTGTTTAGCTTCCTGAGTGTTACTGATTGTTTTTGAAGAAACATGAAGTCACAATCTGTTGTTATGCTTACTCTAGCCATCCTGGTGTTCCTGACATGGGTCCCTGTTTCATTGAGTTGTAACAAAGCACTCTGTGCTAGTGATGTGAGCAAATGCCTCATTCAGGTAAGACTGAGTATGCCATTAATATTAAAATATATTGTAGAGCAGATATAGAGTGCATATAATACAGTATAAGGCCTGAGTATTAGGTCAGGGCCTGGGTTACTGCATATAAGCAAGGTCAGATTCAAGAAGTTCAGTACTGAAAATAATACCCAGCTTATAACCATGCCATTACAAGATGATGCATACTCTGCTCAGTTAAATTAAAGGGTTCCCTTGTATAATCCAGTTTACATAGCAAAGAGGCTCAGTAACTATATTTTTAAAAATTTTAGCTAGTCAAATATTAGACAAACTGTATCCTAAATATAATGTGTTAGCTGTCTATTCTGTGTAAGAAGTTACCCCTAAATATAGCAACTTAATTCAGTAAACATTTGTTATTTCAGGCAGTTTCTGAGAGTTGGGAATCTAGAAATAGTTGAGCTGGGTGGTTCTGGCTCAGCATTTCTCACAAGGTTGCAGGCAAGTTGTTGCCGGGGACTGGAGAATCTGCTTCTAAGATACTTCACAATTATCTTTTTCAATCATCAAGGCATTGGTGTAGCTACCACTGTTATTTTTCTGAAGAGAAAAATGAGGTTAAGTAATTTGGCTAGGCTCATATAGCTAGTAATTGGCTGTGGAATGTGGTCTGTATTTGACTCCAAAGCCCATGGCCTTTCCAGTAATCATACTGGGTATTACTCTTCATAAAGTTGTGCTAATTGGTGGTGAACTTCATGTCTTATATATATCGCTGTTCTCTTTCATCTTATTCCAAGGGTCCCCAACCCCGAGGCCACGGACCAATACCGATAGGTGGCCTGTTAGGAACTGGGCCTCACAGCAGGAGATGAGCAGCTGGTGAGGGAGCAGTGCTTCATCTGTATTTGCAGCCACTCCCCAGTGCTAGCTAGCATCGCAGCCTCAGCTCCACCTCAGATCATCAGGCATTAGATTCTCTAAGAGCACTGGTCCCTGGGGCCAAAAAAGTTAGGGATCACTTACTGTATAAGACCATCAGCAATCTTGTGCCCTTGTATGTCTGCATTTATTAGCTTCCCTTCTAGTTATTGACTGTTGATGAAGAAATGGTAGAATTCTCTGTATGAGTCAGCTACTTCTTGGCTGTAATCTTGACATTGAGAGCAATTGTGTGTATGTACTAGAAGTGATAATGATTTTTATAGATCAGAGGCATTTCGTATTTATTTCTGACATTTCGGTCCTTCTCATTAATAGTTGAAATTCTAGGAAGCCTGGCCTTTCTTTGAGGCCAGGCATATTCTGTTTACTTTTACTTTGCATTTCAAACCAAAACATTTAACTGGAGAAGTTCATTGGTTGGTTTTAAGTTTTTTCACTATGGATAGTTTTAAGCACAAATATAAGAGAATATAATGAATAGTAGTTAGAATCAGCAGTTATAGCAATCACTAATTCATGGCTACTCTTATTTTATCTACTTTCCCCTACACTAACCCCCCCCAGCTCTATTTTAATTTCAAGCAAATCCTTGATACTATTTTATCATAATCCTAATATCTATCTCTTAAAGATAAAAATTCTTTAAAACATAGCTGTTAGCAATTTAAAAATTAACAATTCTGTACTATCTAACTTTATACATGGAACTTTTGATATGGAATGTCTGCTTACACTTGTGCTGGCTGAAAATTTTATAGTCTGCATATGAAGTCCATCTTTGTGCTGTGGTCAGATAGGAAATCTGCCACTTCCCAGGTTGTTTCAATGTAGCTTCATTATTCATTAATAGAAATAAAGTGTCATAACAATTGCTATATCCGTGTTTAAAGGAAATTCACTTAAATTCCAAATTATTTTTTGACTCTTCAAGCCTATAATTTCCATTAGTTCAAATGATGAAAAATTAGAGCTTATTTAAAATACCTTGCTTATTAAGGGAGTATTTTAAAAAGAAAGCTTTTGGTTAATATTGATAAATACTCTCAAAGATTTTCTGTTTGTTTTGCTTTTTATTTAAAAAATTTGTAATACAAAACACTTCACAAACTAAAAAGTGTTATACAAGTATAAAAACTAGAAAATCATGTGAAACTTCACCTGTTAAATGACAATTCTAGTAAACTCATTGGAAAGAAGCTAGGACTTTTTTTTTTTTTTTTAACCACTAAGTCAATGGTGCTAAGATTTCTCAGATTCTCGTTGTTCCTCCAGAGCCAAGAATCATCAAATCTTTTTCTGGAGTAGTAGAGATAACTCTTGTGAATAGTGGCAGAGTATTTGAGGTTAAAAATATCAAGAGCTCCAGTACTGAGAATTTTCTTGTTTGTTTATTCATAAATGCTTATTGGACATTGAAGTGAAATGTAATTAGTTCCACCATTTGTCTGGTTTTCTGGACTCCAGAAATCAAGCAGATTATTTTACATTCTGAGCTTTACTTTCCTTGTATTGCTCTTACTATGGCTATGTAACAACCACCCCAAATATCAGTGGCTAAAAACAGCATTTATTTTGCCCAGGAATTTGTGCCACATAACATTAGTTGGGGCAGCTCGAAGATAGAGGGCTGGAATTATCTGAAGCAACACTATTGATTAGGACTTTCTACATTGGTAGATATGGTCTACATCCGCCCAGTGCAGTAGAAATTAGCCACACGTAGCTGCCAAGTACTTCGAATATGACTAGTATGATTGAAAAACAGATTTTTAAATTTTATTTAACTTTAACTTAAATTTAAATAGCTACATGTGACATCATATCAGTAATTTCTGAGTTATATTTGTGTTTTCTAGTTTATGTTTATATCAATACAATGTATAAAATAAATTACATAATATATTTTTATTTATATTTTAAGTAATTATGAGAGTTTTTTTCTTCGACTATACATTAATACTAGATAAAATTGATTATAAAGTAGATTTATAATGTAAATTCTACCTTCTATTTTTTAAATTAAGTTTTTATGGTGACATTGGTTAACGAAATCCAGTAAGTTTCAGCTGTACCCTTTAACATTAAGGCATATATATATTTACACTAAGGCATATATATATTTGCCTTACATTTAACATTCAGGCATATATATATTTACACTGTGTGTTCACCTCCCATAGTTACATTTCTTTCTGTCACCACATATTTGACCCCTTTTACCTCATTTACCACTCCCCTCGCCTACCCATTTACAGGTATATTTTAAAACTGACAATATTTAAACCATGTTTATATTGTAATGATTATATATTGTCGACTCTATGGTCAGTCACACAGGGTACTGATTACATTGCCTTTCTTGAGTGAGTTTGTTTTTCTTGAGTTTCTAATTGTCTTTCTTGATTTTGCATCATCAATCATTAACACCTTACATTGTTTTAAATTCTTAATCTGTTTTTCTCCCAATGGAGCCTTCAGTCTTGTTTCCAGACTTCACTGATTGCTCTCTAGGTCTGATCCAAACTCTCCTATAGTGCATTCCCACTCTTACTTTCCTAAATTTGTTTCACTATTTCTTTGATTCTTTATCTTGTTCTTTCTTAATTTATTCATTTTTATTGTTACATGCCCTAAAGTATCTTCTAAGAAAGGCAGTATTAGAAGTAAACTTCGTGGGTCCTGCATATCTTGAAAATGTATTTAGTCTCACCTTATACCTGATTGGTGAGTTGCCTGAATACAGAACTATGTTAAAATCTTTTCCGTGGGAAATTTAAAGACATTTCTCAAATGTCTTCACACTTCTGGAATTCCATATTGCTGGTCAGAAATCTGATGTAAATCTCTTTTTTTTTTCTCTATTGGTGACTTTGTTAGATTTTTTTCTTCCTTCTCTCTGGATACTTTTAATTTTATCTCCTTATCCTTGATGTGGTTCTTTTCGTGCCAGCATCATTGTGTTGGCCACTTTGAGAATCTTTTTTTGGCGAGGAGGGATTTATTTTAGGCTAAAGACTGGAATATTCTCTTTTATTATTATTATTTTTATATGTAATATCCTCTTTTCTATTTGGAGCTCTATTAGTTTGAGTCTATGATGGATGCTCTATGTCTTAGATTTTTTTAAACAGCTTTATCGAGATATGTAAATCTAATACTATAAAGTTGACCCATTTAAATGTGCAATTCATTGGTTTTTAGTGTATTCACAGAATTATACTACTATCACCACGATATAATTTTAGAATATTTTCCTCACCCTAAAAAAACCTCATATTCATTCACAGTCACTCCCCATTCCTTCCTTCCCACCCTTTGGCAACCATTAATCTACTTCTATTCTGTAGATTGAATACGAGTGGAATCATACACGATGTTGTCTTTTCTGTCTGGCTTCTGTTATTGAGCATAATGCTTTCACGATTCATCCATGTTATAGTATGTATCAGTACTTCATTTTTTATTGGTCAAGCAATATTCCAGTATATGGATATACTGCATTTAATTAATCATCAGTTGATGTTTCTACTTTTTTGGCTAAGGTGAATAATGCTGCTGTGAATATTCATGTATAAGTTTTTATATGGATATATGTTTTCATTTCTTTTGGATATATATCTGAGAGTAGAATTGCTGGGTCATATTTTCTATGTTTTAACGTTTTGAGGAACTGCTAAAGTATTTTTCAAAGTTACTGCGTGCATTCCCACCACCAGTGTATAAGGGTTATAATTTCTCTTTATCCTTACCAGCACTTGTTATTATCTGTCTTTTATTATTATTATAGCCATCTTATTGGGTATGAAGTGTTTTGATTTGCATTTTTCAAATAACTAATGATATTGAGCATCTTTTCATGTGCTTATTGGCCATCAGTATATTATCTTTGGAGAAATATCTATTCAGAACCTGTGCCAATTTTTTAATTGGCTTATTTGTCTTTTTATTGTTGAGTTCTTTATGTATTTTGAGTACAAGTCTCTTATCAGATATATAACTTGCAAGTATTTTCTCTCATTCTGTAGGTTGTTTTTGCACTTCATGGTTTCATTTACAAAACAAAAGTTTTAAATTTTGATTAGTCTTAATCT